TAAGTCCTATTCAAAAGTACCCTGGTGTAAAATAAATAAAAATATTTTTCAGTATAAAAACAATAATACTCTCCTTTATAAAACACCTTTTTTAAATAAAAAACGGAGTAAATATATATTTTTTACTCGGTAGTTTTATACAGGTACGGACGGAAAGTTATTATACTTCAAATCAGTTAAAAAATACGTAGGTGGCGCGCTCTACAAGTAGGAGCCATATTGATATCAAAATAAAATTTCTCATGTCAAAAAAAAACTCCCAGACACCAATTTTCATCCAAATATTGACGTTACTTTATAAATTATTTGGAAAAAATCGAAATAAAAATGAAACTCTTTTATCTGCAGAGTATGCTGCCGAAGTTTCCGGAATACAGCTCGAACCATCCTGTACATTTTAGCTAAAACTGTGTTAGTACTCCTTAATAGTTAAATTTTACCAGACACTTGCAAGGGGTCCTTTCAACCATGTATTATTACTTTGAAATTGTGAACTCTAAATATTCTACATCTATAACGGAGTTGCTATTAAAAAGTTATATTTAATCATTCAGACAAATTGTAATGGCCAAACATAACAAACATCGCCTAAAAAAATATTCAGCCATAAATCAGCACAAGGGCTCTAAGCATGCGTTTCAGAGCGAGTGACACCTATGGTAACTCGCCATGCGCATAGTTCTCCCGCGCTCATAGTCACGGCTGAATAGTTTTTGTTATTAGAGGATGTTTGGTCATTACAATTTGTCTGACTGATTAAATATAACTTTATAATAGATGTCTTAATGACATATGCAAAAATCAGACATGTAAAAATAAGTAAAGTTCGTTTATTTTTTGTGGAGCTTTAAAGCGCCTGATAAAAGTTCTGGTCCATGGAAAGTGTCTGATACTTTTGATAATCCTTCACAGTAATATTCTACAATATAAAAATCAGTCATACAAATTAAAGTAAAATAACTCTTATTTTTAGTTACCTTTCTCACCTTGTATCTGCCAAGGTGTCACAGGGCGAACCCCACAAACGCGCCGGTATTCAAAGCACATGAGAGCATAAGGTTTCATCCTTGTGAAAATAAGTGATGTCTGATCGCTCTGGGATCTTGGATTATAGATCAGAGGCAGTGTCCCATTGCTGAGCCGAGCCGGGATAGCAGTACTAGGTTTGATTTTCAGTCCGTGAGCGTTATTTAAAATAATTATTTATATAAATCTAGTAAAACGATCAGCCAAGTTTACTCGTTTAACCAAATAAGAAAATGACAATGCCCCATGTGTATACTTTCACGCCTATTATGCAGCGCCGTTGGAATGTTTTATAAAATTTTTCAAACTTCAGCTTTAATCATCTGCTGATGATGTTAACATGGTTAGCGAAACGCGCCTCCAGTACAAAAGTAAAAGTGCTTTGGTGTATTCTGGTGAATTAATGTTTTATGTTGCTGTTGTAACACCAAAGGTTCCAACACCCATCTGTTAGGTACTCATTAACTCATTTTCAAATATTTTACAACACTACCACAAAAATATTATAACCTAAAACATGAGTTTATATAGCACGAATAATATAAATAAATATAACACGAAATTTCTCAGTCTATTGATCATAGATCTTGTTTAGATTCAATTTAGATCTTCAATTGTTATTAATTCTATTATCTTTTTAGTATAAAATATCCGGCCTCTACCATGTAACATTAACTACTGAAGACCTGAAATGGGAACTATTAAAAGTACGCCAAAGCAGATTCAAGGAAATATTAGTACTGGTACAAACAACAAAGTATTATTCTTTCTACATAGAACATGGGCGGTGATAATAACTTCGAAAACAAGAACTTTGTCAAGATGGGGCAGGAAGGACAAAAATACAGGAGAAGATACCAGCAGCGAATATACTTCTCAATATTCCCAATATTCATTTTGTAGCTGTTCGCAATGCCAAAGAGATGATGGTTTCAGTTCAGGAGGTTTCAGGTAAGTGTTGCCAGACAGTGTATACAGTAAATTTTGTAGAAAATTAAATTTCCTAGAATAAACAACATACAACTTTCTTGTGTCTCCGATAATTACAAATTTATTGACGAATGAAATTCTTTGAGGAATGACATCGCAATAGCCATAGTCAAATTCCATCACAAAACAACGGTTTTCTTATCATTCATTATGTAAATAGAAACATGTAGAGATAACAACAATCATCTCTATAATTGAATATACCGAATTTAGCGCGCTTGACGAGCGTTGGACGAGTCTGGAGAGGCTTTCGGGATGTTCCACATTAGCCAGACTATATTTGCAGCTATAATTTTAATATAAACTATTATCTGACAAATTTTTAGGACTGCAAAAATAAGAGCAAGGGTTTTAATAATTTGTATCCAATTTTTCACTGGCAAACATCAGCACAATGCACATAAATATAGCACCATAGCACCAAATGCACAACATCTCTCGCTAATAGAACTATATTTATCGGTGAAAAAAAGTACATTATATTTGTACTTTCTGACGCATTTTCCGCCTCAGCCTATCGGACCCCCCCCCTCCCCCTCCCTACATATACATATTATATGAAATTTGCTTAAAATAGCATACCAAATAATTCTTCGGTGTTTGCTGACTAGGAAAATGAGTACCAAAAATTTTCACTAGACTAAGAAAATATGTGCCATCTCTCGTTGAAAGATTATTGGCGTAAAAATTGGGTTTATCTTTTATATCACCATTTTTCCGATTCTGCTTTGTTTTGTAAGCTACAGGAGGTTAGTCTTCTTTTCTCAATGTAATACAATTTCCATCCAAGCGCCTGTAGAATACCTCTGAAAATCAGTCCAAAAAGTCCAAAAATATCATTTCTATGAACAAAAATATCGATCGCCTTACAGACCGTTCACGAGATAACATATTGTGTGTGATTGTGCTCACATATGCTTCGATCATTTTGTAGAACACAGACGTTGTTCAAATTACATAAAGGGCATACTTTTAGGGGGACTCAAGTCTTTTGGGGGGGCTTAGGTCCCTATAAGATAAGATTCATGTGAGGTTAAAACCAATTTTATACGATAGAACCTGGTAATCAGGGGGGGCTAAGCCCCCCCCCCCCAGTTGCGCCTCTGATAAAGGGTGTCCAAAGTAGGGATAACTTGAGTCCGCATAGCCAACAATAGACAACAATGGGTCCACCTAAAAAGAGAGTACCTAAATATATAAGGGAGGCTACCTATAATTGGAAATGGTTGAATAAGCTGACAATGATGATGATGATACCTATAATATTTGTTACCAATTAAACTTTTAGTTACGTAATAGAGGGAGCGATTTTTAAATTCATTGTTGCCAACCATAGACATATTCGGCGGCGGGCTGACTAACTGTAATTTAAATTTCCCGCTGGGGATTCAGATGGTAGCTCTGCCGAAATACAGAATTTTTAAAAATTCGCCACTTTTAATTAGTAGGCTTTGGACCCCTTATTGATGATATGCCCTTAATGGAACTCGAAAACATATTTTTCCAGCAAGACGACGACGCACCGCCTCTGAACGCTGAAGTTATCAGCAAATTTTTGCAGCCAATTTCAAGAATAATTGAATAGCTAATTTTCTTTCGTGACCGGGACAATTACTTTTTAAAAAAACAACACAGAGACTTGATCAGTTTATTAATATGTTTGGTTGAACAGTACTAACAAAAAGATGAGAAAATATAAATGTAACTCATATTTATAAGCTTCTACTGCTGAGGTAGCAGTGACGTCAAAGGCGGGTGACGTACCCAGCTACGTGGATATAATTCCTCCCTCACAGGTGGAAAATTCTGGGGTTCGGTGCAGGATTTTCCTGGAGTGGAATTTCTTCTAAAATTCTTCTTTTAAATTTGTTAAATATCTGACATTTATACAATATATAAATTAAAACAAATACAAATAAAACATACATTATAATAACCCAAATATTAATACTAGTTTCAAAAATAAATGGTTTAATCGATTCTAAATCATTTTCTATGATATTTCTAATAGGATGTATATTATTTAAATCAATAGAATCTAGATTTAATGGTTTTAATTTATTTATAGATTTTTCTGACATCTTTGTAAAATTTAATTTTGGCAATTGAATA